TTTTCGGGTCAACTTGGAATGCGTTTCGCCTATTTCCGTGAATATGTCCCCCTGAAGTCTCGACGCATACGGTTCGATTACCATGAAGTTTCGGTACTAGATCCGGGATGGTTTGATCGCGCTGCATTGATATCCATTCCTGGGCCAGCGATAAGATTTGCGGTCACCGGATATAGTATTGCGCCTCATATATTGTTTGTTATGCAACGATAGTTCTGATCTCGCATTCGCAAAGCAGCAAAAAGACGGCGACATTGCAGCATGGCAGCCCTCTGTGTTCACTGTACAGCCTTCTCTGAGGGGTGTGATATGATGTTCCCTGGAGTGACCCTTTGCTTTGCTGTTAGTTCGACCCACACCTCCGCTGTGCCGAGTCCTGTTCGTGAATACGGCCCGAACCTCACGCTCGACCTGCACCTATACCAGAGTCGGACGACTTCGCCCCGACGGAGCCGAGGGGCACAACAACAACAACAGCTTGCACCTCTACCGTACCGACTGCCGAGTCCTGTCCGTGAATACGGGCTGACCCTCACGCTCGACCGACCTGAACCTCTACCGTACCGACTATGTCCTAGGGCCTTGGTACCGACTGCCGAGTCCTGTCCGTGAATACGGGCCGAACCTCACGCTCGACCGACCTGGTGCCGACCCGACAGGCGGCCGGTGGGACGCCGGGTCCCATCGGACCGGCATCTTCATTAGTGGCCGTTTATGCGGGCTCAGAGCCGGCCCGCTTTGTTAGGGAAATGCCCGCACCATTGGACGGCGGACTCGCCAGAAAGGGTCGGACCGCCCGCTTTGTTTCGCTGTCTCCGTCTCCGAACGCAGGCGGCTGTAACGCCGGGCTGTGAAACCGGAGATAACGCCACGGGCTGGAAACGTGGGCTATTAAAGGCTAAAATACTAGGCAGTTTATTTGGGACGCCTCCGGGAAAACTACAAAGGTGACGTCGAGCCTGTTCCAGTTTCTTTATTCCACACACAAGTGGACTGAGACTTGAAATAGCTTTTTTGTGCACGGGATTTAACGCACATAACCCGACTAACGGGAAAGAACACATCAAACGAAATTGGTATTTTTCATTGGGCTGAAAATATTTTTACCCTCCTACTTCCTAGGACAGGCTCACTTAGGCATGACTTTGAAGCTGAAATGACATATTGCGATCTTTATTCTATCGAGGCAACTGTTTCGCTTTCAAATAGGTATGTATCGTGGATGAGGAAACATACAGTCCTCTCCCAAACGGTATTTTGACACCTTCCGTGGACATCGGGCGCCATTCGTAAAGGGCTACTCCTGAGACGCGGGCAGCTTGTATCACGGTCGTCATTTGGTATAGTCTCGTGAAAATGTTCTGGCCTACAAGCGTCGCATCAATGGCGCTTCAAGCCGGTCTTTGGCCTCGGAAATAAGTCTGTGCTGATGTTACACAGAAATTCCCCAATGGTCGTCAATCACACATCATTCGAGGAAAGTTTATCTGCAGCGCTGATAATCGCTAACACGGAGATAATCTCGTCCCACTGCGTTCACTTGGTCCCTGCGTGATTCTTCTGTCGTGATTAGCGCGTACCTCGGCGTGTCCATCAGAGCCCACTCCCAGAGGCCGTGATTAGTCCGGTTGAAGGACCAAGAGTAATTGCCAAGCACAGTGAAAATCGTGATAATTGCCGGTCTGTGATTGAAACGCCGTTGCGCGTTGCCCACTACCTGACCTGACTGAGGTGCGCCAATTAATTTGGACCGATTCCACTGTGGGCAGATGATTTACACGTTGGTTACGAAGAGATTACAAATGCTGGTCGGACTGGGCGCCTCACTTTGATTTAGCATCATGGCACGTTCGGAGGACCTCATGGGACTGTAATTAATGGCTCTTTTACGATAGCAGGCCCTCGTGGACTAATATTTAGATGCCTACGATGCTGCTAGTGAGACCACTGGATTCTGATCTAATTGCATAATATTGATCCTTTGATGTTTGTGAAATTGTTACATCACAAATCAGCAGTAGGAGATATCTCACTTAGGATTCCATTTCGCATTTGTCAATCGTCTGGGAAAACCAAGTGACGTCAATGCTGCCAATTTAGCCAGATTGATAAGCAAATGAGGATATAAATTGGGGATATAACTTCCGGGGAATGCAGGATGCAAATAACGATTGAACAAACGTATAGTGTGATTAAACTACTTTGGTTATTTCATAGTTTTATAATGTACGTATGTTACATTTAATATAGTCAGGTGATGCATACATTTAATTACATACATTTGATGCTAAAGCTAAATTATCACAGATTGCTTTGACAAAATAGCTATTGTTTAAAGACTGAAACTGTTGCTAATGCATTCATACATTCCTCTCTGAACATGGCGCAAAAATAGATATGCATCTGGTCACTTAATTTGTATTTTTATGTTGAAATTTATCATGCGACTCTTTTCAAGTACCCAAGGAACAATCCACGAAGCGCTTGCAGTTCTCAGCCCTTATGCAGCTCTTCGGAGCTCACGCAGCTGGACTAATCGACACAAATTGATACGTTCATCCAGTGATCTCCATCCAAAGCGGCTCATGTGCGCACGATTTTGTCGGCGGTGATTTGTACCTCGACGTGTGTTTCCTCTGGCCGGTATCCATCACCTGGAGCGGCCGCCCCCGGTCATCCAGTTGGCAGCCGTGCAGAGCGGCTCACCAGCCCCGTATCAGAGGCGCGCCAGTGATTCACATGTGGCGCATATGCATACGAACGGCGCAGCGCAGCGCAGCCTGGTCGGTAACGAGCTGCGTCTCTGGCTCCGGTCACGATTGCCCCGTTACCGGACGATCAGTGTCGATCGCGGTCGATCTCCATACGCAGCGCACTAGTTCCGATTGTGTCAGAGCGATTGAAAGCAATCGGTGCACCGAGAAGTTCAGTGCAGTTGCAGACCCTAATGCCTTCGGATATGACTGTGCATATCGGAGAGCATGGTATCTCACAGTACGCTTATATAGACTTCCAGTGCCCATGGTGGATGAACAGGTGGCCGAAATCAAACCGACACCAAGCCAGCTCATCCTTGGCAGTGCAATTAGCAGATCCTTCAGACTGTTCAGAGTAAGCACAAGTCCTGCATTAGCATTCAGCCACAAAAACGCTGTTAATCACCGTCGTCAATGAATAAAAAGCGCCGCCAGTGTTTGTATCCGCGTGCAAAAACCACCAGTTATCATCTCATGACGCTCATTTAGACACCGGGCCCGGCGCGCGTTTGCTCGAAGATGAATGATTGAGCAAATGATAATCTAACGAGATGTGAGAGCGGCCCTGTGCGGCTCATAGGTCGGGCCTGACCCGGCCGCCGCCGCCGCAGGGGGGCATTAGCTCCGCCTGGGGCCGGGCCGACACCGCGCACTCGGCCTCTCAGATCTTACCGACCGAGCTCCCCCGTCCCGCGGGACGGCACAGGCTCACGAACCATTCGTCATCGCATCGGTCCGCTGCCTGCTGCACGTCGTATGACGCGCCTAGCCGTACAAGGCTCGCATTGTCCGGCTGTTGACTGAACAGTATGAGGTTGATTGCATTAGCACACCACGACGTACTTGCTGATGCATGCGACGTGGTTTTCTGTTACACAGAGGCGGGCTTAAATGTCCTTCTTTGGCAAATGAGCATGTTTTATTTCTCTTTATTTTCTTAGCAATTGTTTAGAATTGTAAAGGACTCGGCAACATCAGAGTTAAAACCAGACAAAATATCATTATTAACCCTAAATATATTGCAACCACCTGTTGTTTCTCTTGCCGCTGTTCTTTGTTCCGCCGCCTTTAGAAAACTGAACAAGTTTATCTGGCTTTCATGTAGCGGCAGTTCATTTGTGCTCCCTCAAAGCCCGTAAACTAGATTCTATTCATACTCGTGAACATCGAAGGCTACGCCTTTACCATGCTTTCCGCCGTTTACGTCTTAAGCAATCAGTTCTGTACCAGAACATTGTGAGCTTGTTGTGCAGGCAAGACTGCGTAAACACCTCTATCGAAAGCGTAACGGTGCTGCCGGAGTCTTGACATGGCTATTAAGTCGTTACGGTATGACAAATCGTCCCAAATGCGTGGTTTTCTGGCTGCTCCGACAGAAGCCGGCTGTGCCAAGCTATACACAGTGGTATCATAATTCACGGGTCGATCGCACGTACAACGATAAATGTGGACGACGATCGAGTGTTGGGCGGTGAATTTAGAGGTGTCGAACATGAAATGGTGAATCTGGTCAGCGATAGTGTAGCCGAATCGGGAACTGTTCTACCTGGTGAATCAGATGAAAGGAAACTTTCTCCCGTTTTACCGTCGTTCCGCCCCACATTTTTCTCCATCTCCATCAGCCCTTTTTCTTCCTTTCGGTCTCCAACTTCAATGCAGCTGTTGTTTTTGGACCTGGAATAATAATAGATCGATGACTCTTGAGGACTATGGGGACTTTGGCATTGAGTCTGGCTCTGGTGGTGGAGTCATGTGGTTGGAGTCATGCGATTCGCTCCGTGACTCACCGCTGAGTCACTGAGTCATGGTCGCCACTCGCCAGCCGTGTTGTCACACACTGCTGTTTGGGTTGGAATTATACGGGGCCTAGTCTGAATTCAGGATCAACAGCACACTGCGAGAAAACGACGCATGTGCCTTGCCAGCTCATACCATACATAGGTTGGGTTTAGCGGTGTCCTGGCTGTTTGCGCCAAGATCAACTCTAAGAACTTTATGTTCTTGTTAACATCCTTAATTCCTTATATTTTAACCGTAGAAGTTTTTTGAGTGTCCAATTAAATGTCAATAGTAGTTTTTGATTTAGAAAGAAGCTTGACCGATGCACGCCATTATGTGTCACGTTGTTTATCACTGTTGTTCATAAGTGCAACCCAATTCAAAGTGTGCCGGGCACACGTTTTCTCAAGAAACGTCTCTTTTACCCTTTACTGCACGCTCTCACGAGGCCCCTCTTTGTTTCAGCCCGAGAACGTGATGCTGCTCACCAGAAAACACCAGCAGATCAAGCTGATCGACTTCGGTCTCAGCAAAAAGATCGAGCCTGGTCAGGAGCAGCGGCATATGCTCGGTAAGACTTGAGTTATTATCCGGTCACTCGATCGATGATGATTCATATCATAGAATGACTGCTTTATAGTTAGATGCATTCAGATCTGCGCTCTCGTCTCTGAGCATAAGTAATTAGGTACGTTATAGCTTCCAGCGTTTAGTAAGCAAATAACAACTTTCCGCCAAAGGTGCGAAATAAAAAGATAAATGTATGCATGCAAAAAGCGTTATCCCGATCCAGAAACCTCACATAACCACCGCGATAGTTGTCAGAGCAGAGCGCAGCAGCAGAGTCCTGCCGCGATTACAAACCGTTATGCTGTCCTTCACTCGGTACGCCGCGCCCGGAGGAAGCCATTGTCTTGATTGACACTGATGGATCTAAATTTACAGCCCTCCCCGGCGGCTGCTGTGGAGTCGGTCGCTGCCCGCCGCGCTCACTCAGCTGCGGGCAGTGCGCCCCGACACGGTTTGAGTTGTGAGAGCAATCGCGTCGTATATTCTCACCGCACTACCGAGGTATATGAGCGGCGAGCTATAGTTGGTAGCAATAAGAGGAATAAAACTGAATATAGGATTGTCCTGCCAGTAACTATATCGGTACTTACCACATGCCTAAGGTCTCACAGAGTTCGGATATCATTAGGTTTGTTGGCAACTAATTTGAGAAAAAAAAAATGAACAACTACTTGAAATGATTAGTTGCAAGTTCGTCTTTGTATTGCCGTGCATGCTCGCGACATTTAGGACAAGCCCTTTCTCCTTGTTCGTCAAACACGAAGCCGAGAGCCGCTGTAGCCACTAGTTTCATGCAATTACACGCCATTACCGTTAAGTGCTATGACACCTAGACCGCTGTCGGAGAATGACCGCTGCCCTCTGCGCCGCTGCGGTCCCATTATAGCGCCGCTTAGTCGCAACAGCTGCCCCCATTAGGGTCGCGGCCTCTCGCTAACCAGGTGTCAGCCGCCGCTCTAACCGGTCACTATCATCGGCTGTCGATGGACAAACGGCCTGACGACGGCAGATTGCCGATCCGGCAGTTTGAGCTGACCTCTGTGACCCTGGCTGGGTCCCGCTGCGCCGTATATCGCCCCCAGCGCCGACCGAGTCTCTGGTGCAGGGATAACGACAGGAGATTGTCAGTTCGACGGGAGGTGAACCGGAGTGAGTTGATGTGATGTCTGTTTGGGAAATGGAGAGTAGGAGAGAGAGAGAGAGAGAGAGAGAGAGAGAGAGAGAGAGAGAGAGAGAGAGAGAGAGAGAGAGAGAGAGAGAGAGAGAGAGAGAGAGAGAGAGAGAGAGAGATATATAGAGAGAGAGAGAGAGAAGGAGAAAAAGAAAGAGAACCAGAGTAAGAAAGACAAAATTATAAAAAGGAAATAAAGAGGAATAAATAAAATTCAAAATGCAAGGTGAGATATTGCCAGTGGTTCTGGCGGGATCAAGCCAATCAATCATCAGATAAAGAGCTGATCATCTCTGACAACGTCACAGGGTTCAACTAGATGGCCTAATCGAAAATAATTTGATTGGTATACATTCGTAACGTTCGAGTAGCAATTCCAGAAGGTAGGCGGGTGCTGCAATGTATTTGATCAGGGACAATAAAACCATTCGGGATTGTTTGCAATCGGTGACGGTTATGGCTTGCCGTGAATGTACGAGATGAGACAATGGGAGAGAGCGAGCGGCTCTCAGAGTGGCGGTGCACCGAGTAATGTCACGTGATTGCGGACCTGCACATAACCGCGGGATACCGGCGGCTCTTCCGGGCTTCCCTGGCGATAAATCATCAGAGCTTCTGCCAATTTACGCTGTGTAATTGTGGGCTTCCAATGCGATGGGCGGGTCATTCATTAGAAGCACATCCTTCAATTTTCATAGATAGTTGTTATGCGGCATTACCTGCGCTAATGCCCGGCATGCTAATCTCATTGGATTTAGCGCTATCGGCAGGAACCTGAGGCCGATGTAGGCCGGCTGCTGGACGGGGCGGTGTGCTGTGTAACTGAAACCAAGTACCGCTGCAGGAGGGTGTAGGCCGGCGCCGCGAGCAGAACACACGCGGAGAGCACCGAGCGGCCGGCCGCCGGCTGACGGGTGGACGGTCCACGGTCTGCACCTGGGCCGGTGTCAGATCGGACCGCAACACAATCCGCTGGTCGACAGCGGCTGGAAATGTCAGCTACGCATCTATCTGACCGTCGATACACCACATCTCCAACAGCTCCAGCTCCTTTTCCGACCATTCAGTCTTCATGTCCACCTGTCATTTTACATGCCAGAGACTTTGGTGACTGTCTACCGTGTTGATTCAAGGAATGACCCCCGAAGTTACGAGACTGACGGTCGGTGCCCATTTCAGGAACGCCGGAGTTCGTGGCACCGGAGATCGTCAACTACGAGCCTCTGTGCCTGGCCTGTGATATGTGGGCGGTCGGAGTCATCACCTATATCTTGTGAGTATGTCGCTGCCTGATATACGTTTTCTTAGAGTTAAATAATGTTATCAGCATGAGCTTTCGGTAACAGTGCTAAATAACACTGCCTATATTTACTTGACAAATGAGCATCTTACCCCTAGGATCTGCCTTGTAAGCTACATCGTAATTCGTAGTCCGCTGGATTCTTCTATGCTCCTCTGACTGAATTGAATCGTTCACACAGCCTCCTGACAAGCATGTTTCTTGATGAGCTATGGTATCGGTGATAATCTTGCTTATTCAGTAGTTTTAATTGAAACATTACAAGAAACCAATTAATAACGGATCATCAATATACCGCTGTAACAGGTAGTCAGATTGACTTCGATCCATTATTGGTTGCGAAATGACTTTTGCCAATGAATGGTGATAGGTGCTCACTTATCAGTGCACTGCATAATACCCTGAAGGGGTTATGCTTTTATAAGGACTTCCCTAGATGGTTGCCTGAGTGAAGGAGCATACGAGCATGATCCAAGTTGAGGATGGGCTAGGTCTTGACTCCTGAGCATTGTAAAAATTGATGTTTTACCCCTCGAGCGTTGTCCTTTCATCGATGCGAGCTTGCCAATGAAATGACCGAGCGTAAACTTCATTTTCCGTACTTTAGTAGGGTTCACCTTTTCGCACAAAAAAAAGTTTTCACATTTTCCGTCAATGCTATTACCTAAGATTAAGGTGTCTCAGGAACTGCAAAAAGCTGACCGTGATGTTTGCAAACAACGGTCCTAACAAAACGATTTTAGGACTAAAGTACGTATCGCTAAAGTACGTAGGACAAAAGTACGTATGCAAATGTTCGTACGCAAATATACGTAGGCGATAAAGTTCGTATGCCAAAAGTACGTACGCAAATGTTCGTACGCAAAAGTACGTATGCAAAAGTACGCAGTGCATAAAGTACGTATGTCAAAAGTACGTACGCAAATGTTCGTACGCAAAAGTACGTATGAAAAAGTACGTAGTGCATAAAGTACGTATGCCAAAAGTACGTACGCAAATGTTCGTACGCAAAAATACGTATGCAAAAGTACGTAGTGTAAAATGTACGTATGCCAAAAGTACGTACGCAAATGTTCGTACGCAAAAGTTCGTATGCAAAAGTACGTAGTGTATAAAGTACGTATGCCAAAAGTACGTACGCAAATGTTCGTACGCAAAAGTACGTATGCAAAAGTACGTAGTGTATAAAGTACGTATGCCAAAAGTACGTACGCAAATGTTCGTACGCAAAAATTCGTATGCAAAAGTACGTAGTGTAAAAAGTATGTATGCCAAAAGTACGTACGGTTCGTATGCCAAAGTACGTAGTGTATAAAGTACGTATGCTAGAAGTAGGGTATAGTAGTGTAAGTTGAGCCACTTTGTCTTTATTGCTGTTCTGTTGCCATACTACAGGGAACTCATGATAAATTCATACATATACCAAATAATATAGCTTTGTCCATTTCGCCCATTTACTCATCGAGAAATTTTGCTTTGCCTTGTAGCAAATGCTCATTAAATAAAGAATAAGAAAGGTATTACACATTGATCAACTTAACCCAAGGGTGGGGTACGTACTTAATACCCTACGTACATTTGCTATACGTACTTTTGTCCGTGACGTAGGCACTTTTGTCCACACGTAGGGTAGACCGGGGCAAGTCGCCCCGCCGAGGTAAAACGCCTCACCGATGTTTCTCGGAACTGGCAGGGTTCTGGGGAAAGATCCTCTCTTCTGGTAACCCGGCCGGGCCCGGGGGGTAATTCCAACCACCGCAGCCCGGGGAGGGGTGTTTTTCGCCCCCCCCCCCTATCTAACTCCGTAAATAAGGGAGCTACGCAAACAAAAGCAATACCAAACGAAAGGTCCTTACGAGACGATTCTAAAGCACCCAAAATTTTTGACCTCAGGTCAATTTCCAAGGTCAGAGGTCAAGGTCAAAGGCAAAAACCGGCCACATGTGTACCTAGTGATCTCAAAGTGAGCGTTCTAGAGGACGGTAGGATACATAAAACCGGCAAAATTGGGTGTCAAACGAAAGAAGAGAATCTGAGAACTCCGAAAATGTGCTCAACATCAAAGGTCATGGTCAAGGTCATGCTCAAAATTGACCTCAAACTTTGCACTTTTTCGTACATCTTGCGTGTCAACTTCCAAGATGTTTTGAAATGTTTTGAGGCTTATCAGGTCCCTATTTGTGGTTCATCTTACGATACAAGGCTGCTCAAAGGTCAAGGTCACAGAAGAGAGTCCTTGCTAGAGGCTATTTCACTTATTTAAGGTAGTAATAATAAATAAGACAATTTTGCCATCCGGGGGCTCTAAATAAAGGCTTAGAGGAAAATAGATGCCAGATTCGTGATCAGCGGGTACGAATCCATCATAAACGACTTTTGATGTGTCAAGGTCAACCAAAGGTCATTCGAGGTCACATGAGGTCAACATAAAACTTGCCCTTTTCCAAACAAAATATATATCGTTCGACGCGGCTTGACAAGGCAAATGCGATGGTACCACTGCCGTAGCTCTAGGACCATTTTTGTCGAAGTTATTTGCGAAAAAAACTAAAACCACAGCTTGGGGTCGTTGACCTGACCTCTGAGTTCTGACCTCAGGTCACTAAAACTAATTTTGTATTTTTCTCTAGGTCAAACGCTACACAACCGTGCTCGTAATTTGTCTTTATCTCTAAAACTATTTTTAGCAGCTATTTGAAGTTCGCGTCTGTGACACCGAAGTTTGCCGTGCAGGGGTCTAGAAAAATCGACTTTGTGACGTCATCAATGGGGCTAGGTCCAATTTTTTTTCTTCAGAAGATGTCAAATTGATGGGAGAAAAGGTACTGAAAGTTTCGCTTTCCTATCCTATCCCTAAGCGTTCGGGAGCTATCGCAAATATTTGCCAGGGGGGGGGGCGAAAAACGCCCCCCCCCGGGCCCGCGAGGGTCTAGTGTATGGGGCTTCTTGCCTCAGGCCGTGGGGCGTTTTGCCCTGGGGTTGGGGGAAAATGCCCCATTTGCAGTTGCTTCACAAAGCACTTCCTAGCTGGGAGTCCGATCATAAGTGAATGAATTTGAAGGGTGGAATTTAAAGTAAAATGTCCAAAGAACACATTGAGCACAAATTTGGCCTTCCAGGTGATGTGAGACAAAAGTAGGTACCTATGTAGCAAAATAAATTATCTGGGGCGTCTTGCCCAAGGCTTTATACCCTACGTACATTTGCTAAGCGTAGGCTTTTGTACGTGACGTACTTTTGCCCATACGTACTTTATACCCTACGTACTTCTGCGATACGTACTTTTGTCCGTGACGTACTTTTGTCCGTGACGTACTTTTGTCCATACGTACTTTTTACCCTACGTACATTAGCTATACGTACTTTTGTCCGTGACGTACTTTTGTCCATACGTACTTTATACCCTACGTACTTCTGCGATACGTACTTTTGTCCCTGACGTACTTTTGTCCATACGTACTTTATACAGTACGTACTTCTGCGATACGTACTTTTGTCCCTGACGTACTTTTGTCCATACGTACTTTATACTGGACGTACTTCTGCGATACGTACTTTTGTCCTTGACGCACTTTTGTCCATACGTACTTTATATTGTACGTACTTCTGCGATACGTACTTTTGTCCCTGACGTACTTTTGTCCATACGTACTTTATACTGTACGTACTTTTGCGATACGTACTTTAATCCTACGTACTTTTGCTTACGTACTTTTGTCCTACGTACTTTAGCGATACGTACTTTTGTCCGTAACCCTAACAAAACTCCCATTGCACGTTCTGAATGAGACCCCTCGCACTGCACTGCCGCCGCCTAGCTCCGTCGTAGTGAAAACTGTGTACTAATAGTTCCATGATTCGACACCAGGTAACACTGGCATCAGTGGCGGCGCCTCTCGGTCGTCGGCGAGGCATTGCGGCTCTCGACCGATGCTATCAACGTAAATCCCTTGTCCCCCATGGATCCAGAATCAATTTGTCTGGGCTGAACAGAACTCTCGTATCTCTAGCTCGTTCTTCCCTTCCTTATCTCATTTCTCCCACCCTCTGTCTCTCTCCCCTTTAAACCTTTTGTTCTCTGTTCACCACCAGGCTCTCCGGGGCGTCTCCGTTTCTGGGAGACACTCAGCAGGAGACATTTGCCAACATCGTGGCCTGCGACTACTACTTCGACGAGGAGTACTTCGGCGGCACGTCCGAGTCGGCCAAGGACTTCATCTCTCGTCTGTTTGTCAGGGACCCCAGGTGAGCACTTGGAAAATTAATTGGACGGGCAGGGGGCCGGCCATTCTAAATAGTCTAATATCACGATATCGACGATTGCTTGACAGCCAGTGGTTCATGCTAATTCGCTCTTCGCTTATGCCACATTATTACCAACAAGAGCATGCTACTTAAATTGTGCTATCTTCAGTTACCTATGGTCCCAGGTCCTGTCTTGTGTCATGTTCTCTCATTTTCTACTCCAGTCGCTAGATGTCACTAGTGCTAGACGCCTGCAATGATGCTGTGCCGTATGACTTAGTACGAGTCTCGATTCAAAAATGAAACTACTTGAGATGTTTCAAGAGCCGATGGTCATCTTTCTGTTTATTTGCAGGATCAATACGCGATCTCGTCAAACTTCATTTGAAACGCAATTTGATCCGCTGAAACATTTTTAACATTGACTTCCATATGCTTTACTAAAATGCATAGTTATATTATTTGAATATAACTTTGCTGATATGATTTTGATATGCCTCTGAATAGTATTTAATCACTTAGGTGGTACTAAAGAAGAAAGTTAAATAAATGCATCTAGGAAGACAGGACGTGCTTTGTATTCCCATAAGCACTTGCAAGATAGAACCGAGAAGGTCAACATCTGCCATCTATGCCACTGAATATTCCCTCTCTGAGACGACGTGTACGTCACAGTGGATATGGCGGGGTTTAATCCAATAGAAACATATGTTAATTTCCTTTACTTTCCATACCAAGTTAATTAACTGTATTAGATCGCTGTCAACCAAATATATGTGCTAGAGCCTCAGCTCTAAAGTTGCTAATTGCATTATGACTATGCTATCCATAACACGTCCCGACATTTTTCCTAGGAAGGAGTCAGTGAGCTCTGTTTCAGCTGTTTCATTTACAAGACAGCTTGAATGACCCCAAGGTGCTTAGGAATCCCCATGGTCAATTAAATGCATGACTAACGTCATAACTTGGTGGCCCACGTCACGTCCCATGTGTGAATGTAGAGTGTGTGGCGTATTATGGGATGCTGGTCATGAAGGCAGTAAGATGGGTTGTATAAGACAATGGAGAGCAGTTACATTAATTGAATTGGAGACACTTAAATGTAGACAATTAAATGTACTTAAATGTAATAATGTACTTAGAATCTACATGTGCTTCGAGACGCATACGCAGCATCATGGGCAATACGAATTGCGATGATGATGATGATGATTTGGTGTTTTAGGGCGCACCAGCAATGAGGCTATTTATGGACAATGCGGAGCAATGCATCTGAAGCCCCTGGAAACACTCCCAGTACTGGGAAACGTGTGTTTTGTATTTTTGAAGAAGAACGTTCGGAAGATTTAATTAGAAAACTCGCTCAAGATCCAGTGAGCTCAAGTTTTTGTCAACACAGACATCCTGAGATTCACTTGTTGCAACTCACAGAAGTTCTTTTTTTAGTAATTGTATGTGATTTCATGACTGTCATACGAGTTACGAGTGCTCGTAATTCATAGTTTTGTGACGCTTATTGACAAAAACAGTTGGAAACATGGTTTCAAACGTTTTGCATGTTCGGGTCCACTCGGATCATAGATCCGTGTTCTTGGTTTATCGTCAGATCCTATGAGATCAGAGATCCAGGATGTATTTTTTGCGCGGGATCCGGTGGGATCATATATCCTAGCCTGCAGTTTGCTTCGACTAGATCACATATCCATCACTCGGATCCATGCACATCTCTGGTTATGGAGTCGTATAAACTGAACCCGATGTAGACTGCATGCCAGTTGCCATGAAACGTTTGCAAAACTTTCCCGCACATTAGAAGTTTATTATTCTTCTTTGAAATGGCATATATGCTGAGAGACTGAGCGAGTCATTTTGCTCGCATTGAGATGGATTTGATCCGTTTTTGAAGCCCAATCCATTCATTTGATATCCGCATCGGTCATTGCCATTTCAGCAGTTTCTGATAGCTTCTGGAATTTTAATGAGATGTCGTGAACCTTACAGACCACTCGGCATATGAACTATTCAAGCGGATATTGGCAGAACTCATTTCGTGCTAGACGACCAGCTTCTAAAATGGTAAATTTATGATGTTGAGCTAGGCATGGATTCTATGATGCCGAATGGCATTTAGCATAGCTCGAAAACATAAAACTTTACTGAAGCCGTGCCATGAATACTGAATAGATCCTCATGTCACCTGATTTGACCAACGCACACACAATTAACCGTTTTGAATGTGCATCTTCTAATTATGTTTCACGTTTCGAAACGGATTCACGTGGTTCACGGCCCCTTCCGCTCACTCACGTTACCTGGCTTCTGTGCGGCCCCTGCCACAGACACGCACGCCATTACACGTAGGAGCTAAATGCGGCCGCCCGCACCGGGGCTTGAGCCGGGCCCTCGCTGTCGGCTAAGCGTCAATTTTCGGCGCTTTTATCCACTCCGCCACGGAGAGGACAAGTTGTTTTGATAAGCGAAGCCTATCTTCATCTATGATGCTTCAAAAAAGAGGTTATATGCATTTTTGCGTAGGGGAGAGTGGGGCAATTTGGCCGCTTTTTTAGGAAACGATATAACTTAAAATTGACGACACATTTCTGCATTTTCTCAACGCTGGCAGGTGTCGCATTCATTTTACTTTACTGGACAGTGAACTTGAAATGATAGAGTAATTACTTATATTGAAATTGTGACGTATTACAAAGGTCTGCAAGGCGGCCAAATTGCCCCACTAGCAGGGTTATTTGGCCGGGGGTGTGGGGCAATTTGGCCGGTGTTAGTTTGCGGTCGGGATTTTCTGTTATATTGCGAGTCAGCTTCAGATTCAGCAATGACGTGTGTCCTATGACGCATTTGCTGCATTTTGGAGGTTGGCTCAGGGGTCACAGGGGTCAAAATAGCCAAATTAGCGGCTCTAGATGCGATCACCGTTTTTTACGAATAACTTTTGAAGTAATCAAGCTAGGCCAAAACTTTTAGTACCATCGTAATTCTCTCGTCAGTCCGCATCGAAAGATATATGTGTTGACCTTGAGAAGTCAAGGTCAAAGGTTGACCTCAGGTCACGTTGCATCAGGTCGCTTAACCTCAAGGTCACGTGATTTCAAGGTCATCATGCATATCATTCGATGCGCCTTGGCGAGCTGAACAGAATGAGACCATTTGTGCGGCTGTACCATTTTTATGTAAGGATTTATTAGCAAAAAAAAAACGTTTGGTAACCTTTGATGACGTCACATGCTCTTACAGTTGACCAATCGGAAGTAAGGCATCAAAGTAGTCAAAGTTGGTCATGAATCATGTCATTTATGGTACAATGGACCATGAAAACTCGGCCGTCCCAGCATAGTGACCATGAGCGCACCGGCCAAGTTGCCCCACTAGTCCCGGCCAAATTACCCCATATTGCCATTCTGAAAATTTATGTCTATAAAGTCATCACGGCTTTACGGAATTAGATAAAATTGCTCTTGGAACCGCTGAACACCCTCAAGAATGGCGCTATAATGTCTGAATTCGTTTTTAGCCCAAATACTACATGTTACACAACTTTGTAAACAGAAGTAAAAGTTACCATTTTCTAATGAAATTAACGTTTTATTAATTTTGAATAAAACTACGAGGGGCAAAGTTTTGACATTTGTCCTCCAGTTATTTCTACCCATGACAAATGAATAGAGACTAGAGTTATTTCACTCACTTTTATAAGACATCGTACAGGTGGGGGCGGCCAATTTACACCACCGGCCAAATTACCCCACTCTCCCCTATGTACATAGTGTTCAGATAGGGGAGTGCATGCACGGTAGGTATAGTCATTAGTCACCCTCACCAGGCTTCTACTAAGAGACCGGCTTTAGTCTTTTTAGTCGTCCCTAGCACTGATTTAGTTCAACGTTGATTGTCCACCCTGCGTCGCGGAAACTTTTTGAGTCTAATTCTGCAGCGTTAAAACTTTAATAGAATAATTCATCGAACAATATGTACGTATCGAACACGTTCAGTGCCTTGTCCAGGATCTGGCTTAGCTACAGGCACATGTGTGGCTCTCAAATCACTGTCAGATAACTGTTTTTATACAGAGTGTCCTATATCAGTCTATTCTTGGCGACGCTCCCAAGTGTATCAATTACTTATTACAAATAGCTGCAGGAAGGTAATGCGCAAAAATAATGAAACGTCAGGATCAAATGCCATAATGTGAGACCAGCCATCAGGAGATGTTCATATATAACATGTCCATTAAATAAGTCTCGCAAATAGGAGCCACTTATCCCGATTCAAAAATAACGCGCTTATCTCCAACAGCAACGAAATACTTTTCCTTATATATTTATGCTGGTCGATAAACTCGTCATTCCCATCTAATCTCTATGCGCCTCGTGAACCTGCGCAGCGGCATCTCGCTGAAACCGCTTTCTGCACCGCCCCAATCTGGTTTGGCGCTCTCGACCGACCGCTCCATATTAGGGTCACCCTGCTGTCTCTGCGCAGCAACTATCCCTCCCTCTCTCCCCTCTCCCGGGAGTGCCGTCGGTAACCGGTGCGCCGACGGCACCGTCGACGCCTCTCGTCGATGGCGACGCACGTCGGTACGCGCGTGGTGCCGACGGCCACACGATGGTGGGCTGCCCGCGCGCGCCCCGGTTTGGTCAATAGTGGGAAGGTCGCGGACCCAGGGGAGGTAGGGGAGGGACGGGCGAACGGCCGGCGATGGACCGGTAGCCCGGTGCGCAGTTGGGGCGATACAGGAAGGACCTGGACACCCACCGATTGATGTGACTTGAAAATATAACAATGAAAAGTATTCTAGATTGATTGTATTGCTAACGCCGTTTCCTTTGTTGAAGAAAAGACACGTGAAATTCAGGGCTGAGGTATGTGTGACTAGAAACGGGATATTTATGCAGATATGGTCAATGAACTAGCACAGCAGCACACGTGCTAAGCTTGGCGACGGCGTTCAGGGAAGGACTAAGGAGGTAATTAAAAGAGCATACCATTGGCTGTTGAGTTAAAAAAGAAATGTCATCCGGAGACAAAATGAAGTGCTCGTATCTAGCATAACATTCGTGTGGTTGTAGGTGTGGTATCAATTGCTTTATACCTAACAGGTTCTAGCATTAGGGACATTCAATGTTTTCTTTTACTCAGCGCACCTAAACATGATATAAAGCATTATGTTGATGCATTTTAGTCTACATATGTGTCATCACTGCTTTATCACACATCATTATTACACTCCGCGATGAAAATATTTTGATAAAAAAAATATTCTAATATAGGTATTACCGTCTATGCTCCATGCAACATTCAGAGGCTGCCCTTCCTGTAGATACCGACTTAATTCTGAAGTTGTTTTGTCAGACCGGACATTAGCAGGCAGCGACTGCCGGTGGCGCGATCGGAACCGAAGCCAAATCGCCGCTGACACTGATCTCACCCAAAAGCGCTCTGGGGCCCGGCCGCCGAGTGGATAAGGCCACTAATTCAATGATTAGTCGCTGCTGTGACAGTGGCAGTGAGAGAGAGGGTCAGCGGATATCTGACGTTGGCTGCACACTGTGTAGTGCTAAGTGCACACAGTGACTGCACAGTGCACACATAGGTGAAGGCATAGCACATGTTTGTGATCATGCATGCACTTCCTTTGACAAGTTAAGATTCGACACTTTTTGCAGAATGGGATCGATCATTGGCAAAATGATCTTAGTCGTTTGAAATCGGAAATAAACAATAACTTGGATGCGCTGGTGCAACCGAACAGCAATGCGCGTTTAGCACATTGAACAACGTCAGATTAAGAGACGTCTGTTATATCGAAACCCAAGTGTGGTCGTTTTATTTCATTTCCAGACAGAGGAGCAAAATTCGTGGTAGAGAAGTGAGCAAACTGGTGTCACCTCTTTCATGTCTGTGCCACTGCAAATTATTTTCTTAACGCCCTCGAGAAAACCTACAGTCAGTGTAGCCACAAAATAACAGCCAATTGCAACAAATCACAATAACGCGTCCACCTTTCATCGGCTGCAGCCGGCGCGGTGAGGGCACACCCCTCCCCCTCCCTCTCCTTGGGGGCGCTGAGCAGCTCTGCAGGGCAGTGCAGGCCCGGTTGGGTCACGGCCGACACAGTCTGATCGATTCCGTGCGGTCGGCGGCAGTCGGTCGGAGTATTCACGCGCCCCGCTGCAGGCCAAATCAATGGCAAACGGCCGCCGGGCGGGCTGCCCGGTGGCGCGCTGACCACTCGTCGTCTATCGTGTGCCCGCAGGCGGCGTGCGGACGTTCAGGAGTGTCTGCGACATCCCTGGATCGAGGTAGGTCTGACCGGCCCGTGCAGGAGGTGGCGGGGATACCGGGCGAGCGCCGCGGTCGGTTTGTTGTAGTTACGGACAAAGGCTGTGATGTGAATCTGTGATGCCTGGAGCTGGATAGTTATCGCTGCAATCTGCGCATATACTGGACATGCGCGCACATTACGGTTGCTACAACGATGTGTTTCGCTGACTTTGTACTATTTTTGTTAAAATATTGAAGTTGTGTTGCGCAGTGGTGTGTAATGTACTGCTTTCAGCAAAATAGGTGTTAGGATTGCAATGTCGTATTTTCATGCCTTATCAACACGACAAACATGATAACAAGTTACAGCCCCTGCACTGCTGTGTTAGTGACTCCCTGCGGCCCTTGCTCTATCGGCGGCACATAACCATCTCTCTCCATCTTTCTCGACAGCCACGAGGAAAGGAAGAGAAGGCAGAACAGCGAGAGAAGGAGGTCAACATCGACAACCTGAAAAACTACCAGGCTCGCAGACGCTGGAAGGTGAGTGTGTTACCCTACGAGTGAGGTATGAAGGGAGGCATGGAGAGAATAAGAGAGGGAGAAAGGACAGAGTTCTTCTCCGAACAGACCAAAAGATCACACAACCTACAAGAAGGCACATGTGTTTGATCAACGTCATTGCACTATTCTGACTCCGAGACAATATCTTACATTTAAAACATCATTTTTTCTATTGTTTGTCATTCACTATTGGCTTGTTCATTAGGGAAAATACTATGCAGGGTCATAGCCTGTTTATATGAAGGGTCGATGGGGAGCGCCCCGTTAGCTAGTTGGGTGGTGCTGGTCCATAAATTGGCTCCAAGGCTTTGTCTCCAACTTTTGTCGCCTAAAGCTGAGATGTCAAGATAAGCCGTTTGTTTTCAACTTGTAACAAATTGGATTTGCGCCTCTCGAGTATTTGCTATAGTTCTAACATCTGCAATATTGATCATTATGTGAAATAGTTTTCTACAAGCTCCCCCTAACTTCTACATGTAGGTATGACATCAAGGCCAATAATCTGATATGCACATTGCACGGAGCACAATGTAGGATACCTTATATGCATTTGTAGTTTGATTACCTCCTGCGAAGTATATACAAAGAGAATCTGTATCAAATTCCTTATTAGCTGCCGCTAAGGTAGGTGCATATACATGATTCAACAACAGGAAGTAGTTTGAGGACGATGCATCCCCTGGTTCGCCTCATCCCGGCCAGGACTCAGGTCGTACTGCTTCGTCATTAATTAGCACCCCTGTAGAATATGTAAACGTGACTCTGTCGTTTTCGGCCGGCTGGCGTGACAGCGCTAATGAGCAGGTGACATTAATTAGGGATCATGTCGGATGGCGCTCGCCGCGCAGTTTGCTCGTGGGGACATTTCAATCAACGGACAATAAGTTGATTTTACAATGGGATAGCAATAAAAAAGAAACATTGATTGCATGCATAAAACGCGGTAGCTTTACGATATAATGCTTAAGGTTCTTTAAAAAAGCAGCAGAGAAATAATAGAAGTCATCTATGGCGAGGAACTATAGCTTTCGAATAGAAGTAGTAGGAAATGACCCGAATAATACCAATATATGCCTTATATTTTCCTCATACGACTCGTATTCCTATGCATGTAAAATTATTATTCATGCATGTTGAGTCGACGCCTGCACAACAGTAATCACTCATAAAGTGCTCATTCGTCGTGGCCCATAAAGCGTGACCGCAGCCCTTCAACACTCATGTGGCGGATACGGCTCAGCGTTTTGCCGTTTCGCCTACAGGTGGCACTAGTGGTAAGCGCCTGAACTCATACTGCGCCGCACGGCTCGGGGCGATCGAGACGCTATCACTATGGGACGCGCCAAATTGTGTGGCGTGACGAAGTTGCTTTATAGGCAAAGGCTGTGTATGTAGGCTAAGCAAAGAAAGTAGCAGCATTGAATTATGTTTCTGGTTTTGTTTTTGCTTTGTGCTAAAAGTATTTCATAAAGATATACATATAGATAAATGCGTGCTACCGGTATGTTGTCATTAACTTTATGTAGCAACAAAAACTTGAAACCACATTGTTTTACCGAAAAGATTTTGTCAGTAAAAAGGCGAAGAAACATGTCATTTCCTCCAGAATATCTCTCATTTACCTACTCCTGCTCGCCTGACAAATTAGGCAGGTAGAGTCTGGTAAACGTCAACAATGAAATTCGAATAAACAGCAAACGGGTCATAACGGCCATTTATCAGTCCACATCGTCTGTTGTTCACATTGGACAAAGCAGAACAGTCGTAAAACATCCCCCGGTAGGGAATATTGCTGTTAATTTCCGGCTGCAAGCCCTGATGTCTGCAAAGTTGCCCTATTCCAAGCGTAGAGAGCATCCGCAGACAGCCCTGGCGCGTCCATTTCGCGAAACGTCCTCGCGGGGGCGGGCGGTGCGCTCGACTAGTGCCAGATTATCCCGTTAGCAGGCGGTCGACAGCAGGGTCATCACTCGGATATGCACCTAGATCAGGCGTCCAGTCGGAATGATTCGAGCGCTGCGCCAGACTTGATGACACCAGCCATATGACCCGACATGGCGGCACCACCTGCGTTTGATCCTATACCAGGGTTGTATAGGCCGGTGGAAAACATGAAATCTCCGGATATCCGTTCGGTGCCAATATTGGGGGGGGGGGGGATTACGTAATCACATCAAATTAATAAGTTGCTTTTGTAACTAGCCATGTTTGTTTTGTCGTTTATACAGAGCAGCCTTGTCGTTTGATGCTTCGTGGCAATGGCATTCCGATGTTTGTACCCGATATAAATAACTTTTATAAATCGCTTTCTTTCATTTTTATCATACCAATAATTCTACAAAAAAAAAACAGTCAAGTCCTTTCCGTAAGGCGCCTGAGCCTTTATGCCTTTGGCCTCCCACGCCCCGACATGTATAAGCCGTTACAGACACCTGGGTGTGCCCTCCGATCCCCACAGCCGTGTGTCGCACCTGTTGAGAATCAGTAGCGAGGATGATCGCCATAGTTTCGACTATCAACCGCACCGCCAATTTCTGCAGCTGTGAGCCGCTACATACTCGGAGCTTCATTCCACAGTTCAGCTGGTCCCACAGCGCTGAGTTTCTTACTAGGCCCTTATTTGTTCGAGCGCTGTGGCATCCTCATCATAAGAGTAATAAAATATGGCGCATTTTTTGTCAGAATCTAGTTTTATTGAACTGACCATTACGAAAAAATCTTGAAAAATGCGATTACTGTAATTGGTTTAATATCTACTAACAGCTGCTTTAACCATGGTATTGAGCTTACGGGTTTTTAAGTCCCATCACATGTTTTGGTTACAACTCATCTGAAATATTTAACGTCTCTCTGTCTCCAGCTGAGTGATTAAACTATCTCTTGCTTCTTTTCCCATTATGAGCTCAGCTATAGCTCCTCACCATTTTCATTAAATTTTCATTCGCTCTTAAGCGACGGGTTTTCCGAATCACACCACCATTTTGCCCTGTAGTTATTGGTCGAAAATGTCACCATCGACCCCGCCCTTTTGTCTTGATCGACTGTCACCATGGACACCAAGTCAGTCATATGCAATGATACTGATGCCGCGCTTTCTCGATCACATCTTGTCTCATCCCGACTTAGATACTGCTCGGCTCGCCACTAACTGCTGCAATAATTGGTGACGACCGCGGACAGGTCACCGCATCTGTTGTAATCGGTCTGTGCAGGTGGCAACGGGTGCGGTCTGCTTGCCGGCCGCGGTGGAACTATGTAGTTCTTACCGGTCACAGAGGAACCAAGAGGCAGTTCATCCTTACTGAGGGGGGCTGGGGCCAGTCCTTCTTTGTCTCTACCTGTTTTCATCTTCGTCTCTCTCCTCCTCACCTCCGGGCACCTTTCTACTCTCCAATTCTCTCTCTGTCTCTGTCTCTCTCTCTCTCTCTCTCTCTCTCTCTCTCTCTCTCTCTCTCTCTCTCTCTCTCTCTCTCTCTCTCTCTCTCTCTCTCTCTCTCTCTCTCTCTCTCTCTCTCTCTCTCTCCCTCTCTCTCTCTCGGTCTCTGTCTCGCCCCATGTCGGCCGGCCTCCGATCAATGCCTGCGGGGCTGCGGACGGGCTAGGCTTCAACTGGCCGTAACCAGCCGTTGCCGCCACCGCTGTGTGCCGTGCCGCCTGCCAACTGCAGAACGAAACACAACGAGCAGCGATGCGCCGCGATCGCCTCCGGCGCACCACAGTTGTCCCTAGGGCGACGAACGATCGGCGGTGAACGATCGTCAGTTCACACAGCCGCCGGCGGCAGGCGCAAACTGAGGTCGTTTTTTGTGGGCGCTCTGCTCTCGGTGTTCGAGTCGATTTGTTGCCACACGAACGGCAGTGGGATGCCCCGTCGACCGGTCGCGAACTCGACCGACGAACGCGGGCGCTCAGAGAGGTTTCCGACGGGCACCCGGAAATGATGCTGCCCGGCAGATTGAAAACATCCGGGGCTGACGACCGTAGCTCAGAAGTCGCCGACCAAATGCGTTGTTTTGAACTATGTGCGTCACTCTGAACTCAGACTTTGTGGCACCTTAAAACGAGCGAATCTTTTGAACTAAAGCTAGCTGAAACGGGGGAATGCGTGTATTTCGGTGATGTGCAAAAAAGTAGTTATATATATGTTAACATGACAAGCCTTATAATGTACACTTTACACATGTTCTATTTTAGATCGATTTTCCTCTCCATCTTCCCAACTTTCACCCTCGACTCAAAGCGATTAGCAGCATCTGTGTTCGCACCAACTCTTTCCCACAGCTGTGTGTTATGTGTCTGTGTGTCTCTGTCTGTGTGTGACCCGCTCCGTCGCTCTGTCCCCAGCACTCGCTGCGAGTGGTGTCGCTCTGTAACCGGCTGTCGCGCAGCGCCAAGCTCCGCAGTCGCAGTCAGAGTATGGAGATGCTGGACGAGAGGGCCGAGCAGCCGGAGCAGCCGCCGACTGCCTCCTCCACGCCGGCCATCAACGACCTGGCAGTGGCCGCATATCAGGTCAGTCTGAGTCATAAAAACACAGATACCTCCTCGCCTACCATGTCAGCCGAGTCGTGGGACGCAGATATACCTGCTCACACACGGGGGACGCAGACACACAGAGGCAGCCGGTCAGTAAGGTTTGAAGCTTGAAGACCCTTGAAAAACTCGAGTCCACCGTTGAACGTTCTGGCTTTTAAATGTTAAACTTTCCCGGAATAAAGTCACTGTGCTACCCAGTACCAGAATCCAAACTGCGCGCAATCAGTTATCGTGAAGAAGCATCACCTCATTCGGCGCTCTGCGGGCGCTCGCAGATGAGGTCGGTCTGAGTGGTGGGCCGTGTTGGCCCTCTCACCGCTGTGCCGTCGGGGACGGTCGAGCCGTCTGACCTGAAATCACGGTCTGCCGCCCCGGGGGAGGCGCCGGTCGCGGTCAGGTCAGTAGAGCGAGCCGCGCGCTGGGGCCGAGAAGTCAGCGGTACCGCCGGATGTTGGTGGGTGCACTGAAAACTTTTTTACCATTTCCTGAAGGGTAAACCCGCCATAGCATGGTAGCTTGACACACAGACGTTTTTTACCACCTTCCAGATGGTAAATTTTACTCTTTCATGAAGAGTAAACTCGCCAGGGAGGGGTAACATGACACACAGACGTTTTTTACCATCTTCTGAATGGTAAACTCTTTTGATTTACTCTTGTCTAGAGTGTAACATTTTTTGGGTTACACTCTTTGAAAGGGTAAATCTTTAACGGAACCCTTTTTTAGGGAGTAACGCATCATCTACTCTGTGCTTTACCCTCCTACAGAGAGTATATTCTTATGGCCTACCCTTTGTCACATGGTAATGTTTACTCTTTCCTTTAGTGTAAACCCCCCAGAGGATGGTAACAGACCCACAGACGCTTCCTTCAGAAGCTTCACGAAGCTTCTGTTAACCGGAGCTCACCAACTAAAAAAAAAATGTTTCAAGAGCAACAAAGTAGGTATATTTGGCTTCCGTACAAACAATACGAGGGGCACACCAACCATGAACATTGTGAGACTCTTCACTTATTCATACAAATTTATACAAAGCGTTCAGCAATGCACAAGCGGTAAATAAACACCACGATACAACTTGAATGCAATTTGAATATGAATACAAGACATTCAGCGCCCTCATATTGGATTAGGCAGAGCGCACAATATTTGAAGTGAGCGACGGCGTTCCTGGGTGGTCGCCCGTGTGCGTGAGATAATGAGACTGGATCACTACAGTGCAAGGCTTTTTCAAAGTCACCAACAAAATGCATAAACTTGTAGCATCACAACAAAATTAATGTACGTACTCACAACACTAGGCCACGTGGCCGTGCACGGGGTCCTGTTAACCAGGTCAAATTAGCACCACTCAACGGCACGCAATGCTCTACTAGCACATCGGTACTTACAATAAAATGTCCACAGAGGCTCTATAGGCGATGAACAACACACAAGCACAATCACCAAAGGCCACGCCGCGCGGCACCGACACTGCTCACATCCGCCCTCGGAGACCAACGGCCGAAAACTGACAGATGCGCGCGGCCTTCAAACCGCAAACGGCCGATCTCGTTTCTGATTGGCTGATTGTTTCCATTTCAAATATCATCTTCACGAGGGTAAACAAGATCCACGCATGAAACGACTATCTGTACCCGAGTCACGATACCCAGGAGGAAAGAGTTTTCGTGATGTTTTGGATCGCGAGAGTAATATTGATATTTACATGGTAATAATACTCTTCGCTGGCGAATAAGTTCATATTAACCACGTACCGTTACTATGCACATAATGGTAGCAGCGAGTTACCCTTTCAATATACTATTATCTTGCGGGTTTGATGAAAATGAACTCTCCAGGAGGTAGTAAAAAAGTTTTGAGTGTGTGCTGACTGCCGCCGCCGACACCGACACAGCGCCCCAGCAGCCGACGGAAGTTGGGCAACTCGGTGTGAGTCAGTCGGAAAGACTCAATCGCCAGCCAGAGTAACGTCATATGTCTGTCATTAACCCCGAAAACCACTCAATGGACTATGATCAGCGAGCGAGCATTCACAGATCAAAAGGTCAGCCGTCGCAAATTAGCTGCTGCAATCCCTAGCAGCGTAGGTGTGTGGGTGCTCTTACGGCAGACAAAAAAACTCTGATTTCTTCAGAACATCTTCCACCATCCTGGAAACAATAAACCGTCCTTTGTGTTCCTCACTCGACGAGTCGTGCACGCCATCTAAGGTAGAACACAATGCACCTACACCGCGTCAGAGCGGTGCGCTGCCGTGCCTTCTCGGGAATCGTTTCCGTATCATTTCCGGAGGTCGCTCCCGGCCGGAAAGACGTGCTGTGGCGCGACACCCACTCGATAGTGGGGCCTCTGGCTCCGGCACTGTCCTGTCTGGGAGGATATAGACCGGTAATGAGCGCCGTATCTCCGGAGGAAATCCCATGGTCGGCCAGAGCGGGATGCGGGAGCGGGATAAGGGATACGATGTCGCCGGAAAGGGTGGGAGAAGCCGTACCGTGAGTAGAGAAGATAAGCTCAGCGCACGAACGTTCAGATTCATTCAATTGCGCTAAGCATGTGATGACAGAAGACATTGTGTGTTAAATCACAATGCTTATATTTCTAAGATATCATGTATTACCAAAAATGATCATGTAAAAAGATGTGCCCCAAAAGTAATTGTCCCTTGAGGCGTCTGGCTGCACATGTGAGACCCTAAAGCGACACTGCATTAAACATTTCTAAGGATGTGTCATGCACTATGGGTACATTACCATTGCCACACTTCTTTCTCATCCCTGGTATCGATCTTAGGCGCGCACCAATCATGCACATGTGACGGCTCTGTGCTGAGTACCACGGGCTCTGTTTTCCCAGAACCCTGTGGACGGAGACGATCTCCCTGCGCTGGAAGAAGCCGCGGCGTATCCACTAGCTCCTGAAGCATCGTTTGGCACCTCTCCTTCCATTGATGTCGTAGGCGTTACTTCTAAACTGTTGTCTTCTCCGTATGTTAAGTCAACCGTTGTGACGGATGACCCAAAGTTTGGCGCGCCGGTCGATGCAGCCCCGGCTGTTTGTGCTCGTGCAGAGTCCAGCGTCGACCCCCGGTTGGGTGAGGCTGAAATAAGGCAACAAATTGGCCACCAGGGTGCCGTGCAGGATATTGACACCTTGATGAGTTTACAGCCGGGCGATCCGAGCCGGCGCGCCGGTGAGACACTGGAGATTGGATTACCGGCTGAGGAGAAACAAGTGAAACATCAAGAGGTGGCCTCGACCGAGGACACTGTGGCTAGTGACCAATGCCAAAGGACAGATGAAGCTGTAGAAAGCCGAACAGAACATAAATCAGAACATTCTCCTCCTGCACTTGGGAATGAAGATAAAAACGTCGATCCTGAATACACACCAACAGCTGTCAAAGAGCACGAGGTTCCTTCCAGTCCTTCTACCGACACTCAACCCATTGGGGGAGAGGGTATGGACAACTTAGCAGCACCAGATATGGATACAAAAGAAGCTCGCGTAGAGGCATTGGAAGATGAATCTGTGACATCAAGAGACGTGACGGCCCGGCCGGTTTCCGCTAGCGACGGGCCTGAGAAACTTCAGCTCTCTGAACTTCACACTGATAATGAAGCGCCCGCAACCGCTGACACAAATAACCAGCTGGGACAATCTAGTCCCTTGTTTGATGAGTCTCCAGTAAAGACAAACAGCGCACAATGTGACAGAAGTGGGGACATTATGACTCACCAAAAACAAAAAAATGTAGGATCGACGGTCGGTGGACCCAGCACACATTCTTCAACGATAAATGCTTGCGGACAAAACGACGAATGTGAAGGTTTGCTTAACTCGGCAAAACTGATTGAAGACAAGCCAGGGAGTTTGGTGGTGCCCAGCATGCCAACATCTCTGGGAGGAGACAGTATTGAATATCCGGGTAAATTGAAGGTTGATGCGTCTCCCCATTTGCACAATGAAGCAATTATGGATACGCCGTCCTCCGGTATGTCATCACAGTCGACCCACGCTGAAGCTATTGTTGGAGAGTCGGAACAATTAACCGAGCAGGAACTGCATCGGAATCGTTCAGCTCCGCCTCTCCGAGAGCCGGCGTTTATTTCCAGCGCTACTGATGGCTGGAATGAATCGATACTAGCTCTCGACTACGCCAATTTGGCAGGTGACTTCGATGATACAGTTGTCAAAGAATCTGCCGGGCTGAACTTTTCAGTAGCGGGCACTTCTCCCGCTCCAGTGGAAAAGAATGTTCAAGATGAAATGCCGGACAGTTCGGACGGCACGACACCGCCTGGCCTCGATGAAATGGCCGACGTACTATTACGCCCCCGTCAGCCGTCAAACACTCCTCTGCCAGGGCAGCTGTCTCACATATTGGAATCGACTCACAATCAAGAGACTGGATCAGATCACCTAAATAACTTTGCATCAACCAAAGAAGAGCAAGATTCATCAAAGATGCAAATGAAACAGCAATCAAATGCGTGCTCAGCAGAGCTTTCCCAAACTGATCCGAATTCCAATCGGGTGTCCAACCTGCTAGAGGAAGAGCCTAAGGCAGGAGAATTGGCTGAGATTCCTCTGAAAATGAATGAGCTACCAAATGTTCGATCAGACCCACAAGCTGCACCTGAACTACCCAACGCGAATGGCTCGTCCACGCTCTCAAAAGGCTTGGACGAACGATGTTCCGAAACGGCCATTTCGGAAGACAAGATGGAGTCAGCGACCTCGTCCTCGATTGTGTCTCGACCTCGTGCCCCAATCGTTCCGCCCGAGTTGCCGGCCTCCGATGGGGTGTACCACCCTGCTGAACCACTGAATTCTTCCAGTGCATCAGCTGAACCTGCTGACCTGTCCGCCGATGCTGCCTCAGGCCAGCAACAGAACCCTTCCACCCCAGCCCAGGTGGAACAGACCTCTTCAGCTACTCCCACGCAGGCTCAGATGTTATTCATGTTCAAGGCCAGCGGGGACGTTCGGCATCTCTATCGAAAGGACTGATTTCATTGACCTTTTTGTAGGTCAGTGAGTTATAAAAGCAATAACTTTCTCCCCAATTCACTTAGTTTAAAAATGAAGACACACTTATTTCTTCACACAAAAAAAGAATCACTTGACACTAATTCACTTCTTCGCTATTCACCACTTCAGTAGGTGCTGTAGTTATATGGTTAAAATGCTGTTATATATAAAATGCTGTTATATGCTATTATAGTAGCATTTCATGATCGATACAGGCGACAAACTTATCTTCTTTACCAAATAAAACTATCGCTGAAAAACTTCAGTATCCGGATTCGAGTCTTAAGTTGATTTCGCGAATCAATTAGTGGAAGCTTATCGCTTATTCTCTACTTAAAAATCCATCTCCGCACTCTCGGCGTTTAACTCCGTCTGAATATATATCCAAAGAAACTCCAAACTTTTGCATCCCCAGCGGCTTTTCTGCGTATGATGTGACTGTTTGCTGAATACCTGATTGTCAGGATGAATTCCTGAAAAGGATGTGTTATATAAGAAGCGGTTCCCTGAATTCGAACTTTCCTTGCAGGTCCCTAGGCCACTTCTGGTGGAAGCTCGAACTGAAAGCGCAAAGTCAGAATTAGTTTCCCTTTGGAAAGCGGACTTGGTTCATGTAATGTGTGAAAAGTGCATTGTGATCGGCCATTAAAACGCACTTAGCTCGTATCTATAGTGATACTTTTGTAGACTTCTTAGTTCTCACGATCTCGAGATCTGAGCTAAAAAAAAAACATAGAGGTCATTAAATTGAATTATTCATTATTATACAGTGGTATCATGGTGCTTTGTTTAAAAAATGACTTTCGCTACATATCTTTATCTTTAACCCTATTCCTGGCGGGCTCCGCCGGGACAAGAAACTGGCGGGGGGGGGCCGATTCGGCCCCCCTCTGAGATCTCGAGAACGAAGCAAGATAGCGACAAGCGGTAAACGGCATCGGATACGCACGGCCAAGATCTACAATTTTTACTAAGGTCATTTTCAGGTCAGGTCAAAGATGACGTCACAGGGGTCGAAAAAGTCAAAATGGCGGCACTAGATATGGAGAGAGTTTTTCTCGTATAACTTTCGAATTAGTCAAGATAGGAACAAACTAAGGGCATCATCGTGATCCTCTCGTCAATCCGCATCGAATGATATATATGTTGACCTCGAAAGGTCAAGGTCAAAGGTTGACCTCAGGTCACGTGACCTCGAGGTCATCATGTATATCATTCGATGCGTCTTGACGAGCTGAAGACAATGAGACCATCCACGCGTCTGTATCTTGTTCCTGTACGGAGTTATTGGCCAAAAACCTTTGGTGACCTTTGATGACGTCACATGACCTCACAGCTGCCCAACAGCAAAACAGACCTCAAGGTAGTGAAGGTTGATCGTATATGAAGTCATGTATGGTATATGGGGCCATTCCGACCCGTTTTAGTGGTAAAAACAGGGAGTTGATTTTTCCCCCATTGACTTATAATGGGGAGGTCGCGAAATTGACCTGACCTTAGGTCACCGATATCAAAATTCCGAGATATACAAATTGCACATACTGGTACCCTAACTAAACCCTGAAGAGAAGAAATTGATCGGTCAAAAACTCTAGCTCTGGCGTGATTGCAAACTTTTCTGAGGTAGCGTCACCAAACCGCCTCTGGTGACCTGACCTGAGGTCAGATCAACTCAAAATTTTCAGACATGTTGCGTAGAAGCCTTTTAGGAAAAGTCAGAAAATTTGAGCTTCCTAGCTCAACGCGTTTGGGATATATAACCAAAAAACCTCAGGGGGGGGGCTCCTGAGGCCCCCCCCCCCCGCCAGGAATAGGGTTAAGCTTTATTTAAGCTAATATCTTTAAGCTATATTCGTGATGCCGTTCATTCAAAATAGCCTTATTCGGAATATCAATTCGAAATAGCATACCGGTAAATTATATATGTACATGGCAAGTATGAAAGTAATCATAGCACTGTTGAGGCAAATGATAAGAGCATCAGCATCACGCAATGCCTCACGCAACGCATCACCACTAGAATATAGCATGCCAATTGTCATCATTTCTCGGCCAAAGACTTGCACTATGGAAGAACAGCTGCATATTCAACACTGAGGCCGTTTCAACACTACAGCTGACGACATGCAAAAGGTGGATATCGCTTCCTGCCTTTGACAGTTCGGAGCACTTCTTGTTATATTACGGACAGATACTCACTCATTGCTACATGTATCCACCATCACTGTTATTTTTAGATGGGTTTGAACTTGACCCATGCTTTCTGTCGAAGTTTCTTCTTCCACATTTGTAGTTGACTGCAGAGTTGATGTTCTCTTCCTCCAAGATGCCTGTGTTTTGCTTCTAAGGTATTTTCCAGTTCAAGGAACCGTAACATCTAAAGGAAGATACGAGGAGATGCTATATTGGCACGGTGTCGTTCTACATTAGGTGCGGTGTAGCTCTCGTTTCCGCTGTAAAATCCTGCTGGTTGACTGCTAGTATGTAGCTTTTGTTTAGGTGTCAGTGTGATCCAGCCGATGATCGAGCCTTGACTGAAGAATACAGAGGCCCAACATATATCCTGGTATGTTATAACATTTATTGGAGACGGCCTGAAAGACTGGTCGTGTGCAACGTTCTCAACTAAAAAGTGAAACGTGCGCGGCTGTGTTGAACTAATGCTTACATGACTTGGTCGCCAAGAGGCATGACACAAATAAATTGTATGCGGTGAACTTATATGCTAAATATAAAACGCCTCACTGATTGCTGTGACGTCTATTGCCGAATCGCAATCAGCCTTGACCGTCTTTGTATGTGATGGTCATCCGGCTCAGTGTCCAGGCCGCACCGCTCTAAACTGTCTACTCAGCTGCAGCTATTTGTAACTTGCTGCGCTATATATTGGCTCTGATTCCTTGATTGAAACTTCGAACTGATACGCTTCAATAAATTATGCAATATGCATGGCACGGTGAACGTCGCTGTAGCTAAAAGTTTCGAACATTACTCGTATTCTTTGAGCTTACCCCATTGTTTGCACTGCCGTGTCGCTAAATCTTCATCTCGCGCTGGGCGAGAGCAACAGCGTCTTATCGATCACAACATGCAACTATCTTTCCAGATAGGATCAAATTGTACCACCAAGGCAATAATGCTTTCTTTGAAGTATCTATGATTGTATTTCATGTTTTAAAATGAACGTTGTGCTTGAAAACTGTGCCAAATGAAACTGTACTGGGCAGCTGGTGGATATTCTCATCCAAAAACCCTGCTTCTCTATCACTAGAATGGAAAACGAAAAGAACGTCTGTCATCTGTCTGTTGGCTTGTTTTGCGTGACCTGTCTGATCGGCGATTCGCCTACATCCCGCTTTGTTTTTAAATACACAGGAGTTTTAATTGAGCTGACTTTCAGACTTATGCTAAGGCTTTAAAAAGCTCCTATGAGTGTTACGTTGGCGGCTGGCTCAGGAAAAGATAAAAATAAAGTTTTATGTTTTTGGTACACCTTATCATACATCAATTCTACACATGTTGTGAAAATTTCAGACCAAGGTCATTCAAGGTCAGGTCACCAGGTCACTTGAAGTGACCTCACCTGATAAAAAGTTTCAATGTCTGTCATAGCTACACCGAGTGACCGATCGCTTTGAAACTTTCAGCGATTGCTAAGAGCAATAGCATGTACAAAACGTTTATCTCAGAATTTTGATATCGATGACCTAAGGTCAGGTCAATTTTGCGACCTCCCCATTATAAGTCAATGGGAGAAAATTGAAATGCGCCTCTTTTGGACGAAAGACATTATAAACACTCCCAAACACCGAATTACAAGTGGTTTAGACACACTGAACATGAAAATGGTGTCCGTGACCCTTGTTTATGCCCTGAGGTCATCTTAGGTCACGAATGGTATCTAACAGTTTTTCGCAAATAACTTTTGATAGAGGCATGCTAGAGCGATGAAAACGCCTTAGATGTGTTCAGCTCGACGATACGGATCGACTGATATGCAACATGACCCTTTCCGGTCAGGTCATGACCTTGACCTGAGGTCAAATTTTCAAGTTGACCTTTCAAGGTCAAGTTATAGTTCATTCGATGCGTCTTGACGAGAGGAACACGATGCCGGTAAAAGTAAGCTCGCACAAGGCTTGGGTCAAAAGTTATTGCAGAAAAAACTGTTTCCGAAAAAATCGGCTATTTTTGCAGTTTTTGCCCCCTGCAGGCAAAACCTTGACGTTAGGTCAAATCTGAGAAAATTACTCAGAAAGGGCGGTAATAGAGCTATCGAATGCGCTTTTCCGCGGCGCTGTAGCTCTATTGGTTCCCAAGTTATGCGCTGGCTTCTTGGAAATTTTCGACATTCGACCTGGAAATCGGCGAAATTTTGCCTTCAATGACCTCTGGTGACCTGACCTTTGACCTGACCAAAAAATTGACCGAAGTGATTTCGTCATTATTTTTTACGCTCTTTCGAACGCCGCCTTCCGCGTATCGCTACGTGGCCCAGGAGCCGAGTTACAAGGGGGGGGGGTGTTCAAACACCCCCCCCCCCCAGCAGGGCGTGGAAATCCAGGACCCCCAGCCGGGCGCGGGTTAAGAAAGCACTTAGCCATTTTTCCGAGCGTTGCATTTACTTTGCAGCTCGATAAATAACAGGGCCTAGATCTAAGGCCTGCAGGCAACATACCCTGGCCGAAACTCTGGGTGGCAGATATCCAGCAAAAGAAATATTCAAGAGTGAACACGTTCTATGGCACTGTTTCGCCGGCCTGATACAACCGATTGCAGATTTTATATTTACCAATAGTATACAAGTTGTCTGCATTTTGAAGATTGATATTTTAAACTTCAACGCCACTTTTCATAATTATAAACCCTAAACTATGCACTATACGGTACCAGCCTCGATCAAAACTCCGTGCTAATTGCGAACGGGGAGGGGTCAGCTGCAAGCCCAGGGTGGATGGCGCTGTGAGCGGCGCGGCGGTGGCAGAACCACTAGTTCTGGGCCCGACCGCTAGAATCGCTGTCGGCGGTCGCCGTGGGGCTGGACCGTCGAGGCCGACGTATCGGGTGGGGAGTGTGCCAGTGAGAGGGACGCCGAACGGAGGCAGGCCGACGGCTGCGTCGAGCACCGGCGGCGAGGGACGGAGAGATGGCCCGCAGCAGCAGGTCCTCCCACAGGGTGAGATATCGGTGCGAGGGGTGCTCGGGAGGCTGTTCAGGTGGATATCAGTGCATAGGTATTTAGGTGCTTTGTATTTTGTCGAATGCTTCAATTTTATCATGACTGGGAACTGGCCAGTGTCATACCCAATTTCTTGAGTTAAGTTGACAAATTCTAAAGCTGTAAATGGTTGTAAATGTAAAAAGATGTTACATGAGTTCTGAAGTAATAACGGGAATATGTATGGTTATAGACAGTGATCTCCAGTGTGAGCACTTAGAATCGAGAGGCATGGGGACGTACTTACTACTTACATAGTACATACAAGGATCACCGATGGCAAACCACAGACGGTCTTGGTTGGGCTGCCCGAGACTGGTGTGGGAGGGGAAAATGATCGGTCTGATTGGGTCTTGTTTGTTTGTTGTTTGTTGGGGGTTAGGGCGCGCCGACTGCGAGGTCATTTTGCGCCATTGGTCTGATTGGGTCATTCGTGTAGTATGATCGTGCGTGGTCCTCGAGGGACCACCTACTGTCCCAGCCAGGTCGTCCGTTGTGTTGTGTTGTCCGTCGTCCGTTGTGCACCGTTCTCGGCACAGGCAGTCTGTCATTGGCTCTCATCATCCGCCTCGA